GCGTCAGCCAGTCCCGCCACCACTGCGTACCCATCCAACTCCGATCACCCCTAACACCCGCTCTACTGAAGAATGTACCACCTGTGCAGCTCTTTCCCTGCCAGGTGTCGTGAAGGGCAAGAAACACACAGCGACACCGGCGTTGTGCCTGCTACTGACACCCCAGCAACCCTGCACTACTACACCCCTCCACACAAGCATGTACCACGCTGCCGCCGCCTTCAACGATTCGCTAGTCCCAGCACCCCCATGCGCCTAGAAACATCCTCAGCAGCTTGGAACGCCCTACCATCCCCCCGCCTGTTGCCGCCCATCAAGCCGCCCCTCCCCCATCCCCACACTGTCGCCGCCACTACAACGGTCGAGCTACGCCACTCGCACTTAGACACGACCTGTCATACATGGCTGCTCACGCGCATGCAGACAGAACCTTTCATCCCTTGCTGCGCACATGCCGCAGATGCTGTGTGCTTCGCTGCTGTCCTGGAGTGAAGCCGAAAAGCATATCGGTGTGCAGGGTGCCCTCCCCCCTAACATGCTGCAACCAATCACAGCTCCCCCGCTCCACGTCTCGATGACGATCGGTTTGATGCCCGCTACACTTTCCCAAACCTTGTCGGCGAAAATAGATCTTTCTTATTTTTACCGTCCGAAAGGATGCCTCCAGGGCTCACTTCCTGCGCGCATTCACGCATGCCGCAAACTAGACCCAGATGACGTTGCACGCTTCCTCATCCTTTCGCCAAGGTCGGTGTCCCCGATACACCCATGCAACCGATTAATGTTTTCGCTCATCGTTCTGGTTGCGGACTCCCAGCAGGGCCGCGAGGCACTTGTTCACCATTCAGAACATCCCAGCACATCTGGCACCAACTGCCGTCGCACCGCAGTGTGGCCACGGACCCCAAAGCTCGCGAACGGAGGTACTGCAAACACCGTCAGGCTTCCTCATGCTCAAAGACCACTGCTCCATTAATGCTGCCCACAAAAAATTCCCAATTCGTCAGAAACCGACTGTCAGCGTCGTTGACGCCTCTACAGATGCTCGCAATGCCCACATCCCGTGTGAAACGCAACCCCGCACTACTCAGCCAACGGTCACCCAGCTGCCTTCTGCCCATCACGCATCAACCCAATCGCCCATCAAGCATAAAGTGGGGCCGCTGCTGCTGCGGACGCCGCCATGCCTGGCCGAGTGCCGATAAGCCGACCGTCGCGTAGGCTGAGCTAGTGTAATAGCGAGCGTGGCTCCCGGCCACAGTCCTCGCGAGACAACATTCAAGCCGCAGGCTCGTCACTGCCATCCACAAACGCCGTCGCACCACACCGGACACTCACCCCTAACGTCGGCGCCGCAGATCCAAGGCACGCATGACACCGCCTTGCTGCTTATGTCCACTGCACTACCAGCGCACGCAGGCCAGCAATGCGATGAGTGCTCCTGCGCCTTGGCGCGCACGCACAACACACCTTCTGAGTCAACATGCGATTCCCGCCACCATAGCCCCTCCCGTTTCACCTCATCACATCCAACACCCAAACGGTACTAGCTTAGGCCCTTCCCTGCGCACCAAAGCGACGCTGTGTCCTGACGTTCACAGTCTGTAAAACTCATGCAGAACATTACTCCTCTGCAGAGCCACCGCCTCACGGACGCAAACGTTCACACATGCGGAGAGGGCTGGTCCGACCCTCCACACACCCCAAGGCCCCACAAAACTCGACGGAATCTGCATCGCCACTCGCAAACACTGATACAGGAGAGATGCGCAGTTAAGCAAGCAAACACGCTCACTCCCTGATGAGGACGAAACAATCCGTTGCGCGTAAGCTAGCGTTCGCTGCGCCTCGCCTGCCCACCTCTTCTCCACCTCCCAGACCCCACGTCAGCCAGTCCCGCCACCACTGCGTACCCATCCAACTGCGATCACCCCTAACACCCGCTCTACTGAAGAATCTATGACGCGTGCAGCTCTTTCCCTGCGCGATGCCGTGAAGGACAAGAAACACACAGCGACACCGGCGTCGCGCGTGCTACGGACACCCCAGCCACCCTGCACTACTACACCCCTCCACACAAGGATGTACCACGCTGCCGCCGCCTCCAACGATTCGCTAGTCCCAGCACCCCCATGCGCCTAGAAACATCCTCAGCAACTTGGAACGCCCTAAAATCCCCCCGCCTATTGCCGCCCGTCAAGCCGCCCCTCCGCCATCCCCACAGTGTCGCCGCCGCTAAAACGGTCGACCTACGCCACTCGCACGTAGACACGACCTGCCATCCCTCGCTGCTCACACGCGTGCAGACGAAACCCTACATCCCTTGCAGCGCACATGCCGCAGACGCGCTGTGCTTCGCTGCTGTCCTGGAGTGACGCCGAAAAGCATATCGGTGTGCAGGGTGCCCTCCCCCCTAACATGCTGCAACCAATCACAGCTCCCCCGCTCCACGTCTCGATGACGATCGGTTTGATGCCCGCTACACTTTCCCAAACCTTGTTGGCGAAAATAGATCTTTCTTATTTTTACCGTCCGAACGGATCCCTCCAGGGCTCACTTCCTGCGCGCATTCACGCATGCCGCAAGCTAGTTTGTCTGTGCCATCCACAAAACGTCGCACCACACCGGACACTCACCCCTAACTTCGGCGCCGCAGATACAAGGCACGCACAACACTGCCTTCCTGCTTATGTCCACTGCACTACCAGCGCACGCGCGCCAGCATTGCCGTGAGTGCTCCTGCGCCTTCGCGCCCAAGCAAAACACACCTTCTGAATCAACATGCGATTCCCGCCACCATAGCCCCACCCGTTTCACCCCATCACATCCAACACCCAAATGGTACTAGCTTAGGCCCTTCCCGCCGCACCAAAGTGACGCTGCGTCCTGACGTTCACCGTCGGTAGAACTCATGCAGAACATTACTCCTCTGCAGAGCCACCTCCTCACAGACGCAAACGTTCACACATGCAAAGAGGGCTGGTGCGACCCTCCACACACCCCAAAGACCCACAACACTCGACGGAATCTGCGTCGCCACTCGCAAACACTGATACAGGAGAGATGCGCAGTTGAGCAAGCAAACACGCTCAATCCCTGACGAGAACGAAACAGTCCGTTGCGCGTAAGCTAGCGTTCGCTGCGCCTCGCCTGCCCACCTCTTCTCCACCCTCCCGACCCCACGTCAGCCAGTCCCGCCACCACTGCGTACCCACCCAACTCCGATAACACCCGCTCTACTGAAGAATCTACGGCGTGTGCAGCCCGTTCCCCGCGAGGTGTCGTGAAGGGCAAGAAACACACAGCGACAACGGCGTCGAGCGTGCTACGGACACCCCAGCCACCCTGCACTACTACACCCCTCCACACAAGGATGTACCACGCTGCCGCCGCCTCCAACGATTCTTTAGCCCCAGCACCCCCATGCGCCCAGAAACATCCTCAGCAACATGGAACGCCCTACCATCCCCTCGCCTATTGCCGCCCGTCAAGCCTCCCCCTCCCCCATCCCCACAGTGTCGCAGCCGCTACAACAGTCGAGCTACGCCACTCGCACGGAGACACGACCTGTCATCCCTCGCGGTTCACACGCATGCAGGCAGAAGCGTTCCTCCCTTGCTGCGCACATGCCGCAGACGCTGTGTGCTTCCCTACTGTCCTGGAGTGACGCCGAAAAGCACATCGGTGTGCAGGGCGCCCTTCCCCCTAACATGTTGCAACCAGTCACGGCTCCCCCGCTCGACGTCTCCATGACGACCGGTTTGATACCGGCAACACTTTCCCAAACCTTGTCGGCGAAAATAGATCTTTCTTTTTTTGGCCGTCCGAACGGATGCCTCCAGGGCTCACTTCCTGCGCGCATTCACGCATGCCGCAAACTAGAGACGACGTTGCACTCTTCCTCATCCTTTCGCCAAGGTCGGTGTCTTCGATACGCCCATGCCACCGATTAATCTTTTCGCTCCTCGCTCTGGTTGCGGACTCCCAGCAGGGCCGCGAGGCACTTGTTCAGTATTCAGGACATCCCAGCACATCTGGCACCAACTGCCGTCGCACCGCAGTGTGGCCACGGACCCCCAAGCTCGCGAACGGAGGTACTGCAAACACCTTCAGGGTTACTCATGTTCAAAGACCACTGCTCCATTAATGCTGCCTACAAAAAAATCCCAATCCGTCAGAAACCGACTGTCAGCGTCCTTCACGCCTCTACAGGTGCTCGCAATGCCCACATCCCGTGTGAAACGCAACCACGCACTACTCAGCCAACGGTCGCCCAGCTGTCCTCTGCCCATCACGCATCAACCCAATCGCCCATCAAGCATAAAGTGGTGCCGCTGCTGCTGCGGACGCCGCCATGCCTGGCTGAGTGCCGATAGGCCACCCATCGCGTAACCTGAGCTAGTGTAATAGCGAGCGTGGCTCCCGGCCACAGTCCTCACGAGACAACATTCAAGCCGCAGGCTCCTCGGTGCCATCCACAAAACGCTGTCGCACCACACCGGACACTCACCCCTAACTTCGGCGCCGCAGATACAAGGCACGCACAACACTGCCTTGCTGCTTATGTCCACTGCACTACCAGCGCACGCAGGCCAGCAATGCGATGAGTGCTCCTGCGCCTTGGCGCGCAAGCAAAACACACCTTCTGAATCAACACGCGAATCTCGCCACCATAGCCCCTCCCGTTTCACCCCATCACATCCAACACCCAAACGGAACTAGCTTAGGCCCTTCCCGGCGCACCAAAGTGACGCTCCGTCCTGACGTTCACCGTCCGTAGAACTCATGCAGAACATTACTCCTCTGCCGAGCCACCGCCTCACGGACGCAAACGTTCACACATGTGAAGAGGGCTGGTGCGACATTGTACACACCCCAAAGCCCCACAACACTCGACGGAATCTGCATCGCCACTCACAAACACTGATACGGGAGAGATGCGCAGTTAAGCAAGCAAACACGCTCACGTCCTGAGGACAGCGAAACAATCCGTTGCGCGTAAGCTAGCGTTCGCTGCGCCTGGCCTGCCCACCGCTCCTCCACCTCCCAGACCCCACGTCAGCCACGCCCGCCACCACTGCGTACCCATCCAACTGCGATCACCCCTAACACCCGTTCTCCTGAAGAATCTACGACGTGTACAGCTCTTTCCCCGCGACGTGTCGTGAAGGGCAAGAAACACACAGCGACACCGGCGTCGCGCCTGCTACTGACACCCCAGCAACCCTGCACTACTACACCCCTCCACACAAGCATGTACCACGCTGCCGCCGCCTCCAACGATTCGCTAGTCCCAGTACCCCCATGCGCCTAGAAACATCCTCAGCAACCTGGAACGCCCTACCATCCCCCCGCCTATTGCAGCGCGTCAAGCCGCCCCTCCGCCATCCCCACAGTGTCGCCGCCGCTAAAACGGTCGACCTACGCCACTCGCACTTAGACACGACCTGTCATACATGGCTGCTCACGCGCATGCAGACACAACCTTTCATCCCTTGCTGCGCACATGCCGCAGACGCTGTTTGCTTCGCTGCTGTCCTGGAGTGACGCCGAAAAACATATCGGTCTGCAGGACGCCCTTTCCCCTAACATGCTGCAACCAATTACAGCTCCCCCGCTCTACGTCTCGATGACGATCGGCTTGGTGCCCCCTACACTTTTCGAAACCGTGTCGGCGAAAATCCATCTTTCTTATTTTTACCCTCGGAACGGATGCCTCCAGGGCTCACGTCCTGCGCGCATTCACGCATGCCGCCAACTAGACGCAGACGACGTTGCACTCTTCCTCATCCTTTCGCCAAGGTCGGTGTCCCCGTCCCCCAAGTGCGTGTCAACGCCCGCCTGGGTCTCCTGTTGTCACGTCGTTCTATTATAGTGTATTCGCGCTTACGCAAACGACGCGCTTCCTCGAGCGCCCGCAAGCGTCTCGTTTCACGTCAGAATCCGTCAGGATGACACGCTTGACTTCTGGATACCGTATGCACAGACAGCGCGGCCCGCAAGGCCACCTGGACCCATTCACCCAAAGCCCTCGCACCACAACAAAAACGCGCCCGAGACGTCCAAGCCACATATACAAAGCACACGAAACAGTTCGTGGCTGTTTCTAATACGCCAATCACCGGTCACACCCGAGCCGCAATGCCGTAGCTGCTCCTGCACCTGACCGGGCGAAGAATGTACACTGTTTGAATCAACATGCGAGCCCTGTCGAAGCAGTCCCTTCCACCTCACTCGGTCATATCCAGTACACAGCCAGCGTCAGCACACGCTCTGCGCCATGAGCCGAAGCAAACCCCTGTAGGGATTCCCACAGGCTGTACGGTTCATGCGAAGGATTCGTTATCCGCAACTCACCTCTTTGCAGATGCAGGATCCCGTAGATGCATCAACTATTATTGCAGCTTCCCACACACCCCGAAGACCAGAAACACTTGACAGAAGCTGCAACACCATTCCCACGACCCTTGCCGAACGCACGCGTAGTGCAACATGCAAACATGCGTACTTCCTGAAGCAAGTCAAATAATAAGTTGCGCGTTGGCGAGGGTTTGCTACTCGTGGCCTCCACGACTTTAATCCCTTTTCCACGCCTTATCGATGGATTCCAAGATCACAGCAGTTCCATCCAAGAATGGCGTCCACCTACACGTGCTCTTTTGCAAAGAGCGCGCAGTATGCCGTCCTTTCGCAGCGAGGTGTGGTGAGGGGCCAGGAGCACACCGCGGGATCGCCGGCACCTGCTCTGCTGATACCGTCACGACCCTACACGATACCTGCCCACACTAGCGTACTCCACACTGTCACTGTCTCCAACCACTCCTTCGTCCCAGCTCGCAAGAGGAACGTCGCACGGCCTGGTAATCGCCGGCCTATTTACACCTGTGCCACCGCCTTCCTCCACTGTCGCCTAGCAATCCGTCCCCGACGGTCAAGATAGCCCACCCGCAGGAAGACAGGACTTGCCATTCCTCGCTGAGCAGATGCAGCCGACGCTGCATCCTGCGCTGGTGTGATGACGCGACGCCGACAAAACACAGAGGTGTGCACGGCAGGTATCGTTCCTTCTAACATACTGCAGTCACCCACAACGCCCCCGCTCAAAGTATCGTCGTCCACGATCTACTTTATGCCTGCTACAAATTCTTCAATTGAACCAAAGTACATGGCGCCCGCTTTTGCGTTTCATCCAGATGCGTTGAATGCCTGCCCCCTTCGCGGATTCATGCTTGCTTCAACTCATGCCCAGGCCGCCTTGTACTCTCCCCTCAGCCGCTCGTCAACGGTCTCCGGCCTCCTCCAGTGCTACCGTGTATTTCGTCGCTCTGCGCGATTATCGTACCTCACCAAAACGAAAAGGAATGCTCCTTCCCAATATTCAACCAACCGCTGCGGATCAGGCGCAAAATGCCGTCACGCCGCATTGAGCACGCACCTACACGGCCGAGAACACCAGTGCTGCAAACACGCACACGGCTTCTCGTCGTTCCTAACGCACTGCACCGCAGCTGAGACCTTCCACGTTTTCCCAATCCTTCACAAATAGCCAGTAACGTCTTCGTCCTTTCGCCTGACGTTCTCGTCGCGTACCTCCTGCACGTAACGCCATTTCCAACTACTCACGACCATGCCGCATTACACTCGTCCCCCAAGTGCGTGTCAACGCCCGCCTGGGTCTCCTGTTGTCACGTCGTTCTATTATAGTGTATTCGCGCTTACGCAAACGACGCGCTTCCTCGAGCGCCCGCAAGCGTCTCGTTTCACGTCAGAATCCGTCAGGATGACACGCTTGACTTCTGGATACCGTATGCACAGACAGCGCGGCCCGCAAGGCCACCTGGACCCATTCACCCAAAGCCCTCGCACCACAACAAAAACGCGCCCGAGACGTCCAAGCCACATATACAAAGCACACGAAACAGTTCGTGGCTGTTTCTAATACGCCAATCACCGGTCACACCCGAGCCGCAATGCCGTAGCTGCTCCTGCACCTGACCGGGCGAAGAATGTACACTGTTTGGATCAACATTCGAGCAATGCTGAAGCAGCCCGTTGTACCTCACTCGGTGGCATTCAACAGGCAGCCAAAATCAGCTCATCCGATTTGGCATTTTGCAAAAGTTACAGCCTGCAGGAATAAAAGGTTTAGCTCAGGTGCCTCTGCCGGTGGCTAGCAGCTTCTAGCTCCCAACACTGGGAAGTCAAATAACGGCTAATGCAACTTTTGATACACTCTGCAGGTCAAATGAGTTAGAAGAAAACTCGATTTTGCTAAAGGTTTTTTTCTGTTGCGTGGGGCCTGTCTACTCAGCTATATACTGCCAGTCAGACAGATACACAAGCAGTTCATCGCTAGCAAGATGTCCCTTTTTCGCGTCCTCATCAAGTTGGCATGTCTTATAGGATTTCTGGAGCCTATGTGCATCGGCCGCGCAGGCTACTGAGCAAAGACTCCCACGACCCAGTATACGTCACTGCGTAGCTGTTGGGATTGTTCTTTAGACTCCCAAATGAATGTTCGAATCTGCGTGATACAATATGCAGTGATACGTTCCTCCCCATCTTCGTGCAATGCAGCTACAGCTAGCACAAACGTGGCCTGGTTGGGTGGGCTAGATACCCGGAATTCACGACACAAGATCTGATGCTATACCAAACAGAGCTACTTGTGTCGCAGAGGTGTCTCAGAAAATCATGCATTGCCACGTGTGTATGCGCCTACTCCCTGACACGAACCAAGTAGATGGCTCATGTGAGCCAGAGTCCACTACACCTGGCCTTCTGGCCTCTCTTTCCTCCGTCAGCGCAGACTAGTGGTTTACACCGCTGCAGACCCATCCAGAGAAAACTCAAACATATGCAGCTTGCTGCTCAGGGGATATACACCAACGAAAAAATGAATGTGCTACGCACTGCAACTGCCACGGCAGTGAGTCCTGGGCTGCTTCTACAACTCTTTTGTCTCATGACGGTAACGGACCAGATGACTTTGTTCGCGAGTACATATCGTATCTCGCGTTGTTCTGCAAGGTCCAGAAAAGCCCTCGGGCACAGCAATTAAACTTGTAAATCCAAGGGCGCAGGCTAGTCAGAACGCCTGAGTGCAACTGGAAAACTCGGGAACTGTCACCATTGTGGATCCTACAGACTGCCCTGCCTCCCTTCGGCAATCCGGTAGCGTCGCAGTCAGCCGAATTTTTCTTGTTGCAGTAAAAATGGTCGGCTGCATATGAAAAGCTGTAGGCAGCATGCAGTCCCCTTCTCGACCGCTACTCGCAGCGTTTGGGCTTTCAAGGCGCTTCCTGCATCCCCCCTATGTCATACAACGAGCACGAGAACGTTTTGGTTCATTTATATGTGCCGTGCACAACCTTCCTGCGCTGAAAGCCTTGGCAATGCTAAACTTGCTTCCACTACCGAGACATCTTCAGCATCCCTGTGTCGACGCTCTTTAAGGTTGCCAGCTGAGCGCAGGAGGCGTATGCTGTGCCTTTACTGGGGTGCCTTATCCGTGCACAATTACCTCCCTAACCTCCGCGAGCTGTTTTTTGGTTATTTGCCGATACCCAGCAGGAGACAGTGGTTGCATTTGCGGCGCATGCTTAGGCGAATACGCTTCACATTGCTCTCATGGTTGCACGCAAACGTATCTACGGCTGAACGTGCCTCTTCTCGGCTGAAGATAGATAGCCCCGGAGCAGGAAACGCTGGCGCGTACCTCAGCTTTTCAAGGGGCTATATACATGGGCATGATCACTTGATGCGCGCCTGGAGATATTCCCAACTAAAGAAAGAAACGTAATATCGAGACACATGTAGAACGCTTCCATCTGTCGGCCTGCACGCGCAGACTGTGCAGTTAAGATATGATAGCGTTAACGGATTGGCATTTCTAAGCAAGAGGTTAGCATACATAAGAAGAAAAAACCCTAGAGCTTTGCGCCGAAGATATGCAAATCAAGCTCACGACGTACCATGCTTCGCTGCAGTTATATTACCTTGCTAGCCACAGCGTTAAAAATATGGCTGCCAACTGTGATCAATATTGGCCGCCAGCCAAATCCCGTGGTTCTCTCCAGATCAGGTGTTTCTGCTATCGGCCGCGAACGTGCCACGAAGGCATTACTTTTTGCTTCCAAGCTACTAGATTGCGCCGGGAGCACCAAAAAACGTAGCCGCCTAGCCTCGGCCTACGCGATCGTGGCGAAATTTACGTTACATCTAATGAATAATCATGCACTGCAGTATCAAACAGCCAACCCATATTGTTTGACTGGCAGAAAAGCAAGAATCTGATACGAAACATAGCCTGCGCCTTGAATTGGCATAATTAGAGGCGACGCTTGCGATGTTTTTGATCATTATAAAAACAAGTCTGCGCAAGTGTACCATTTAGTAGCTCCCAAATAATCCGTAAGCAATGCTCTATCTACATTTTTGAAGCACTTTACTTGGCCAGAATTTGCTGCATCGGAGACTTCGGCGGCATTGCCTGCACTTCTGGCCCCAATTTACCGTTTGAAGTCCTGTCCTACAGGACCGAACGCCCCAGGCCCCATTCTAGACGGTGTCATTTCATGAGTTCAATTGGAAGAAACGAACCAGCCTCTCGTGTATTTTTGCTGATGACGCCGAGAACGTTATGCAAAATCGTGCATTATCACGCACCCGTACACCCCTTACTATCTGGATATGGCGCTGCTAAAACGTGGCTGTATCCGCTTGACTAGGGGTGGCCGGTATTTGACGTTGGCGCATTTTGGTCTGCAACTGTACTGGAGTTTTTAGAGAAGTCTGTGTCGGTTGATTCTTTCTACTTGGTTCTTTTGCTCATCCGGCGAGCTGGAGGTGCATTCTAATATAGGTGTGCGATAGCGGACCATGAGATATCGCCACTAACAAAATTTGTTACCAACGCGCTGTTCGCTGTACACTGCAAAGCGCCTCTCCGGTCTTTGCACTACCGCTACAGGGCGCTTTTCAGCTAGTTTTAAAGGCATAACCTAACCTCGCTCTAGCTATATAACCATATAAATTCGTATTTGTACGGAATAGCAGTCCTGCCTCTAAAAGACTTGCGATTCTTACTAGCGCCCTGCACATCCCTAGGACCTGAATTATGGATCTCTCAACCGCTAGCAACGGGGACGAAACCGAATTATTGGCGCTCTTATTAAACGCTGTTCAAATGCCGGTGATATCGGCTGCGCTCGTTGCCACAGACTACAGCTTCCCCCCACCTTAATTCTAGTTCCCCCAAACGGTTTTGCCTCATACCAAATTGGACTGCTGAACACCTCTTGCCCACCGAAACCCTGCGTCAGCAACCATACGGACAACGCAGGCACTCGAGTTTCCAGGCTGTCGCAAATGTTGCCAGCTTAGACTACTGTATGACCCTGCTGTCCATATAGGCCTTTTATCTATTGGGTCATTCTGACTAACGTGTTGCCTTCATCAAGAATCGCTTCCCACAACAAGCTACCATGAACTTCTTTAACTCAGTTGCGGGGGGCGATGCAGGTATATCAATTTCCTAGAATAAATCCACCAAATCAATGGACAAGATCATGGCAACGCACGTGGAGCGCAGGCGAATAAGGTGAATAAATGCGTAATACGTAGGGCTATAATGGAGCATTTGTTCATCCCTCTTTGACAGAGAGGCTAAAAAGCCTCTAGTGTCTCTAAAACATGTACGTTTTGCCATTATAGCGCTCGTACTTGAGCATGCAAGGGCACAGTAGTTCGAGATCGCCATCTGTGGGGATCCCTACGAAAATGCGATAGGCGCGCACAGGTGCTTGTGCCCTGCAGCAGCCACACCCTTCCCCCAAACACTGTTAAAGAACAAATTCCAACTCAAAACTCGCATACTATTCCTGTAGTTAGGAGCAGTGATAAGTAATCGAAAAACCGGCATTCGTTTCTCTGTTGCAACTATGAGGCCTCTCCGCTATGAGGGCAGATGCGTGGAGCATGCACGCACTAGCTACAAGGG